GTAGAGTAGCCTGCTGATAAATATTTTACCAATGTTGGATATACTGCTTTTTTTTTTTCTTACCGTGTCACTCATGCCATCAATTTGTTGCATAGTTCCAACCAGGAAATGCATCAGTTGGAGATGCAGTTGTAGCTAGAGGGTCAGAGTTAGTAGTCAATAACTTTAAAAGGTTCCAACTGCTGCGTCCATCATCCGACCTTATCGGACCCCAAAACGAGTCAGGTTGTTTTGGGTTTTACTCTGACCCAGCTGTATTGGACAGACTGATACAGCCAGTGACTATTTAAGCAACTATATTAGCTACAAAGTGCTTAATTAAACCTCCAGAGGCTTTCTGTTGTGTTTGCAAGGTCGTCATATGTCTTCATGGTTTTAGGTAACATAGATATCAGATGTAGAGCATCTGTGATCATTACTGTCTTACCACAAATTACAGGTTCAATCTGGATTCAGACTACATTATTTGAACACATTAAACTGCTTTGATCTAAACTATTCCTGTATGTTTGGGGTTGAAGGTGACCCTTCACCCCTCCCCTAAATTATTTTCATTCATTCAAAGATGTCAAAACAATGTAAAAGAAAGAACAGTTACGAAAAACTTAATGCAACTATTTTTGATTGCATGCTATGTCGTTAAATGAATTAATACCTTTCTCAATAATCAATAGAAACGTCTGTTTGAATGTTTCCACAGGTATTTTGATTATTTGCCTGGATTTACCTCGAGGCTTGGAGGCCTCTTTACCTTTTAGATTCCACTCACTCATTCCAAAACATTACTATTATTTCCAGTCAGAAGACGCCTTGTGGACAAATTAAAAGATCACTTTAAACCTAAATCTATCAGAGGTATGAGTAACTTTGGGCCTTGCTGTGTGCTCTACAGTTACATATAGTGATGTATCATCATGAGGTAAAACCAGTGATGGTTTGAATAACATTAGCTCCTCTCTGTGGTTCCCTCCATTTGCTACTGTGACTCAGAGGCTCCCCCCCTCCTCAGGTGTAAATGACATGGATGATGTGATTGTTCAGCTCTGTTCTGTTCTGAGTGGCAGCCATGCTGACTACCAGTCACTCGGCTCTTCCATTACCAGCTCTTGGCGGGGTGAGTGGTGGAAGTAATCCCCCTCAGCCTGTGATTTTCTCTGTGATGGAGAAAATCACATCACAAGTCAGCTGGTTCTTTAAAATAAGACAGTCTAACCTCTCCATGCAGCTGTGTAAACACTGAATAAACACAATAAGGGATTCATTATCATAAATGACTGCGTTCAAACATTTTACTTTTACCTTGTACTCTACCCTCATCCATTACACTGGCCCCCTGGGTGGATGTACAAAAGTCTTTAAGTTTAGGAACGAATGTTTACACTGAAAAACAAACAAAAATGATGAACATTTATTCAGAGGGAAAAACATAATATCAAGTTAGAACTCACTTTTAGCAGCAGCCCCGTTTTGCTAAGCCACACAAACCAGAAATGGTCACACATCACCTTTATTCTTCTTAGTTTAGTTTATGCTACACTGTTTCTATTTTAAGTCAGCAATGACTCCCAAAAGTTTAATTTCTATTTCCTAATTGCCAAAAATAATGAGAGAGATCTATATTTACCTTAATATATTCTAATGCTGCTTATACTGAGCTAGGTTCTGGTTCTGCTTCTGCTGGAGGTTTCTACCTGTTAAAGAGGAGTTTTTCCTCTTCACTGTCACTGTATGCATGCTCTGTATGAGGAATTGCTGTAAAGTCAAGTGACTGTCTGTATGTTCTCATCCTGGGTTTCCTGATAGAAATTATTGAATCTGCTTTGAATAATTAAATAAGCGTACTGTATGATAACTAGGATAAATTGGAATCTATGTTTGTTTGAAATAAAGAGATTTTTTGTAAGGGACCTTGACATTTGTTGTGAATCGGAATAATGAACTGTATTGAATTGAATCTAATTATATGTAAGTATAACAGAATAGGAATGTCCAGCAACATACAGTTGAGAAGAAGGTTTTTATGTTCAGAGGTGGACAGTAACAGTTACATTTACTCTAGTAATTTTTTGAAAAAAATAAATATTCTTTTAGGAGTAGTTTTACTTCACACGTTTTAATTGAGTAATACTGTTGTGAAGTATCACTACTTTAACTTGGGTCATTTCTTGGACAGCTACTTCTTACTTTTACTTCAATAAAAACACATAAAAGTGCCTTTGAATTATGCCTGAGTATCATTTTTAATCAAAAAGTCTTGCTGCTCAGCAGAAGAGAGAATAGGAAAGATTTTAGCTCCTTTCACCAAAACACTTCAAGAAACCTTTCAGTATCTCATCTGCTTGTGTTCTGGGTCAGATCCAATGGGTCAACCCTCTTCTGTAACACCTCTGACTCACCAAGTGAGGTCAAGACTGTAAAGGTCAATTGACTTGAACCCAGCAGAAGCTAGCTCCTGATTGATTCTGGCAGCTGAAGGAGGAACAGCTTATCCTGCTCTCTCTCGTCCTTACTGATAACTTTGCCTGCAAGTTATTTTTTAAAGCAACAGTTTTTATAGTTATATTTACATTATCGACATCAGAACTGGATTACTTCAAACCTAAGGACTGGAGGATTTTCTTACTTTTATTTTTACCTTACTTTTCTTCATCTCCAACAAGGGCAAAATGCCTCCGGCCGACCCCAGGGACATTAACAGTATTATACAACAACTTCAGTCTATAGAAATGAAGATTAAACTGCTGGAGGTGAACTTTGAGATCAACGCTACCTGTGGAAATGAAACAACTCTTCCTCAAATTAATGGAGAGGTCGTACGCTCCGCATCAAGCTCAGGGTTGAAAGCCGAAACAAAAGTCTCACACTGCAGATCCCATGAGACCCTGGATGAATCAGCCAGGCTGGCTCTGAGCCAAAACCCACCTTCAAATTCAATGACAAATTTGGACTAATTACCTTGTCCGTTTGCAGTAAACGTGTCATAACAAACATTAAATAGGACAAATATATTTGATTAAGTTTTGACAAAAAAATGGCTTCTACCACGATAATTATGTGAAATCAAATTAATTATATCCCAGATTCATAAGATTTGCCTTTACCTTTGGTTCCTCCTATCAGTCTGTAGTTTCTTATATTGACGTCATCAACCATCAAACATTATCTATAGATATAGATATAGATCTATGTCTATAGATATAGATCTATCTATCTATCTATCTATCTATCTATCTATCTATCTATCTATCTATCTATCTATCTATCTATCTATCTATCTATCTATCTATCTATCTATCTATCTATCTATCTATCTATCTATCTATCTATCTATATATCTATATATCTATCTATCTATCTATATATATATATATATATATATATATATATATATATATATATATTTATTTATGGGGCCAAAATATTTTTGGGGGCCAGAATAAAGTAATACCATAATTTGTCGTGAGTTCATGCACTCTGTTGTGTTTGTTCTTTAAGCAAGGTGATGTTCACTTTGTGCACCAGTAAAAAAAAGCATATACCTATGTATTGAATTTAGGAAAAAAAATCATATATGTCACTAAAGAAGGGTTCAGTGAATGCGCATATAAACTGATTGGTTCATTATCGCAAAAAAGGTTAAGAATGCTTGTATGAAAGGCGACGTCCACTGAAGATATTCAATGTCACTCACGGTCAAAATGGCTGCTAGCTGAGCTGCAGTCAACCCAAGAGCAATGATATTCAAAATTGTTTTGTTCCAAGTTATGTTAAGCCTATTACTTCTATTTTATCAAATAAAGACCATGAATCTTTAAAGGGTCTGTTTCAAACCAGGTTATGTATGAGTACCATTAAGGGATTTCCATATGAGGTGAATGGAGAAACATAATGAATATAAAGAGTGATTTGGAATATTTTCTACACTGATTGTGTAAAAAAATAAAATAAAATAAAATAAAAACACTAAGTAAATATTCCAGATCAAATTAATGTTATAAAGAATAAGATTAACCATTTAATTATCTCATCTTTTCAAAGCAGCTTTCTGATTGGACTTTGCTTTAGATTCTAAATATTCTAATATAATGTTATATGTTCTTCAATTTGCTGTACTATTTTGTGTAGCTGTCATATATGACTGGAAATAATCATCACTTTACAACAGATTAACTTACAAATTCCATACATGTAACTCAGAGATCATGCGATGGAACAACCCATCTGATTTTGTTCTGTCTGATTTGGATTTCTCAAAGAAACAAATGTCTCAGATTAGATGAAAACGCCTCAGAACCAACTCAGGTTTCTGTTGAATGCAGCTCATCTTGCACAAACAAAAGCAACAATGAATGCCAACTCATTAGGATTCATTAAATTCTGTATTTTTGTTGAAAAGAAAAACGTGTTGGGGTTAGTATTAAAAGTTTTAATGTTTTTTGGGGGTTTTGTGGGAGGTGGAGGGTCATTTATTGCGGATTTACATCCCTTAATGTTTTGAAATATGAGTGATTGCAATCACTCATCAGCAATCTGATGATAATCAAATTTTTGACAAGTTGAAGCAGAACAAAAACATGTTGAACTCCAACAGAGGAAGCCCCGGGGCTGAAAGGTAAATTTCAACTGAAATGTGTGATCCCTTTTTTTTGTTGTTGTTGCTGTTGTTGCTTTAAAGTTTTAAAGACCTGAGAAACTCCAAGACATTTTTCCAGTATTGTAGTCCCAATACTGGACAAGTTTATAATGAATATAAAACTTGCTGCTTAATGCAATTTTATAAGGTCTGATTAGACTGGGATTATGCGTTCACGTAATTTGTCACCCAATAAACAGCAGTGTATACCAAAAGCAGTTATGTGCTGACCTTATATATGAATATGTACTTAGAGATTAAAGCAGTTCCCACAGTAGCTTAGCGCCTGTTTTTCCAGCTGACACTTTGTGAAGCAAGTGAAAAGAAAGATAAACACGCCAAATCTTGAAGCAAACAAGCGCCACAGTGATGATCTAGTATTTATTTAAACTTTGACGTCCTCTGCAGTGGTTCACATGTTCAAAGTAAAAAAAAATTAAAATAAAAATCCCTCGAGTAACTGGATGACATTGATGCTATTTTACCCTCCCATATTTATCCTCAATGTCACACCACCCTCGAAGGGAAAAACAAAAATCCAGATCAGGAAGATTTTTGGAAACACAACAATATTTGGAATAAAAAAAATAATTCATAGCTCAGTGAATTCTACCAGCCACCTGCAGTTCCCAGCTATGCACAGCAGGGAGAGCTTTTCCTCAACAAATCGACAGCAAGCCGTTCAACGGCTCTCGCCTTTGAGGTGTTTGGGATCAGTGCTTTGTTTGTCACAAATTGCTTAAATATTCGACCCAAAGATCTCGAACTCGGGGAAGCAGCCATATATGCAGCAGGAAAGCTGTGTAACATGGAGGAAAATAATACTTAAATTTCCACAAAGAAAAAAAGCAAAACACATTTTCATATTCCCTTTGGCACGCCCCTATGAGGGAAGTAACAGAACCCAACACTTAAAACATATATCAACCAAACGTTAAAACCAACAGTCCACAGATAATAAAAATAAAGGAAAATACATATTTGGTTCTGTCAGAGTATCGAAATAGTAAATATAACATCACATTCCTCTTGCAAAGGCATAATTCTGTTGCTGCTATCGAAAGATCCACAATGGCTGGGAACTCTCCCAGAACAGCTTGTGGACAAAAATGTCTGTGTTTACATTCATTATTGTCAATAGGCATTTCCACATGTAACAGACTTTATTGGACCTCTTGCTTCTTTGTAATCTCATACTTAATTTTGTCCAATGCCAGAAGGAGTTTACTGCCATGTTTCGAACTGACCGAGTGTCGATTCGTACCCACCAGGGGGACGTTACCTGCTTCAAAACTGATGATTTGAAGAATATTTTTAGAATCTGCTTGCAGCCTTTTGAAAGGAAATGTGGCTATGTGCTATCAGTGAAGACTTTCTAACCACAAGATAGAAATAACATCTACTAAAAATAACATCTAATTGAATTACATTATAAGTAGTCAAGAGTTTTTGTGACTTTATACTTTATAATTTAAAAACCAACAGACTTAGAAAAGGAAGTAAACTAAATTTCATTGGGTATAAATCTTGTGACAAGTGAACTGTGTGTGAACTGACTTGGCGCTCATTGTGTTTCATGCGGTTTTATACAATGTCAATTTTCATTAAAAACATGAAGAAGTTGGGTGTACGAAACTTCTTTTCACAGTATTCGTGAGTGAAAAAGCATGACATGCAGAGTTTTTAAATTTGCAAAGTTACGGGACACAACCGACCTCGCATGTGGAAACGTCTGAACTTTAAAAAAAAAAACTTTTTGAATGTCTCTTTAATAAAACACAATCTAACGGACGTGAACCAGTCCGTATGTGTTGAAAATGAACATTGAGACATATTTTCTTGTCTTAATGCCTGAGATGAATGCAGACTGAGAAAGACTTAGAGACAATACAGAGGTATGCATGTTTCAGGTGTGGCCAGACACTCACACAACTTCTGGATCAGCTCCCAAACAGTTGTGCATATGCGAATTTGTCACATGCACAGTTACTCTTCCACCGAACACCACCAGTTCAGCAATACGCCCTTGCTTTGCTGGTGTTGCAATCGACTCCTCTGATTTACATACTTTCCCACACAGTTGTTCTTTTTGATACTCCTCCTGCATTTCCTGGTTTCCACTGGCATGAAATGCTTCAGGTGTATATGCACAAGGTTTCTCAGCTGTGTTCACCTGTCAGCTGAACCCACTTAAAACAACAAGCAAAAGCTGACGCAGCTGCAACGACTGGGAAATTAGTCATATGTTCTGTTTTCAATGTGACTGATCTCTAAACGTCCGAGCAGAGCAGAGATCAGGAGTCGTCCTTCTTGAGTGAAGTGCTCAGTCAGTTTCTGCTCAGTCAGTTTCCATACTGAGCAGAAATTAAAAGTAGCTTTTTCTGGGTGACTTGTGTCCAAAAGTACAACTGCCCAGTTTTGGGGTTTCACCTAAGGTTCTGCTGCCATCGGCTAAACAATCTGGGCCTTGTGGACGTATGAAGTGTGGGGGTTATGATTGTGAGGCTGAGGGCTCATCCTGTTCTTTGAGAAATTCGAGCTAGAGGCAACGCTATCCTGATCGTAAGGATGCTCCTGACTGGCAGGGCCACCCAGCCCTTCGTCGATCTCATCCTCGTCGTACGTTACTTGTGGGTATGTGCAGCTTACGGGAGGGGACTGGTAGTTCCTGATGGAGCTTTCTGAATGGGAACCCCCATCTGTTGGGATGACGGCATTGCCGTTCATCTGCCTTATGATCTCCGTTGAGTGGACCGCAGGATATTTCGGTTGCAGCAGAGGAGGAAGCAACCGAGGGTCCTGCTGCAATGGCAGAAAAGATTTGCCATTGTAATCAGGCAAATATGCAAGGGATTAGTAAACTGGGTGAGAAGTTTTACAAAACTTGGTAGAAGCAAGCTTTCCATGCCGCAGGCAGCATGAGACACTTACCAAGGACATGTTGCTGTTTCTCACATATTGCTCTACTCTAAGCCGGGTTTCACTGTCCCGATCCATAGGCCTGTCTCTTCCCCTCCGGGAGCTGTTGTAGATGGACGGTCTGCCTAGAGAGTCGTACGCGGGAGCCCCTCCTCCGCGTCCACCTGAGACAGTTGATCTGCTGTCTCTGCAACGGGCCTGCTCCTGTTAAAGCAGAAAAACATGCTCTTTTTAAACATAAGCAGTTGCACTTATCAGCTGCATAGATAGTAATGTTTCCTGGTTGTGTGATTAGGCGAGTTTGCTCAGAGCTGTGATAATGCAAAGCTATATTTCTGTCCTAACCAAGATGTTTTACAGTTATATTGTGTTGATCTATTTCAGGGTCCTGCAAATGCATTCATGCCCTTGAACTTTTTCACCTTCAAGGGCTACACTGGATCGCTAAAGTCAGTAAAAGAACAAGGTTTATTTCAATAAATACATTAAAATAAATATTAAAAAGGAAGCAAAAACAAACAGGTTAGAGGATGCAGCCTTCTAATTAATTGATTGAAACACACAGAAGAGCCCACACCAAAAAATCCTAAAATATTATCCTTCTGCTATAACGTATCTAAACAGCAGTGCTTCTATTCTTGCTTTCAGAGAGGATGTTAGCATGCTATCAAGCTAATGGACAATATCATACTCTTTTTAGTATACTATTAAGCTTATGAGTGATGTCACTCATTTGTCAGCATACTATAAAATTAATGGGTGATCATGCTAACTCTTGTTTAACATGATTGGAAGCATATGGGTAATAGCATTCATTTGTTAACATGCTAAAAAGCTAGTGGGTCTGACATCTTGTTTTTTTTCTTCTCTGAAACCAAATCAAATCTAGCTATCATCCACTTATACCTGTGGGTTAGTTAAAATATAGTGGTTTGTTTTGTTAGCTAAACAAAGCCTCTTGTGTTTACTGAGCTCTATTGGTCAGGAAGTTTTGTCTGCAGTTTGCATTCATCTGTAATCTATACGAAGCTTGGACATGATGGACTTTGGTAATGATGTTAACGTAAACAGTGTTTAGCCCTTCTCCTCATCAGGTTAAACATGCACTCAAAATGAAACTGGATTTTTCCTGTTGTCAGTGGATTATCATTCCAAATCATAAGGAGACAAAGTGAGCTTGCTGTTTAAATGTCAAACTTTTCCATTCACTGATGGGTCTCTGCATCACCAGAGGCACAGAACTCTGAAAAAATGTCAAAATCCAATCCTCTAGCACAGACTGCAGAACTCTCCATTTTTCTGAAGTGTGTGCTCCATGGGAGTTTGCAACCAGTACATCTTATTTATTACAAACATAGATCCTGTCAATATCTGACCAAGTTACACTAAGTGTAGGTTGAGTCGCAACAAACCAGTAGATGGAAACAAGCCTACTTCCCATATTGTTTGTTTTGTTTTTGTGACGTTTTAAAAGTTTGAACAAAATTTGTATCATAATTTTACTTACACACAGCTACTAACTGGTGAGAAATTAGAGCTAAATTATATCTTTGACATTTTTATAGTAACCAGTGACTTTTTGAATCTATTAGGCTTACATTACCAGACAGTGTTTTCATACTTCAAGATCAACAGCCAAATACTTTTACAAGTTGCCAAGTCTTACTGTGTGCCCAGCTGCAACTATAATTTCCTTCTTCCAAGGATCAATAAAGTCAAGTCTAAGTCTAAGTCTAGTTTAGAGAAGAGTGAGGATGTAAAGCCAAAGAACCCAAACGTCCCAAAAAAATTGCCGTCTGAAAGGTCTTTGGTTATACATTGTGTTACTGTTGATGTCAAAGTCTGAGATGCACTACATTCAAATCGGAAATGCCAAACTTCAGAACTTAGCCGCGCGGCATCTGGACAGTAAAGCCTCAGTCCCAGGCCCTGGCCTTGCATGCAGATTTACATTGATCTGTAGACTGACCCCGAGGGACGACAGGCTGTTCCTCAGGGTTCCCTCCACCCTCAGAGGGTGGTGTTCCTCAAGCTGCAGTGAAAAGAAATACAAGTGTACTGTTAAAACGGGTGGGAAAAAAAATCCCACAAAAATGACAACTAATAAGAGGACTGCTGAAAACGTAGTGATTTCAGCACATTAAAGAATAACTTCTAGTAGCACCTCTCTAGCATCAGTGCTGACAGAGTTCACCCTCCTGAACGAAGCTTGTCTGGACAAAGTGGTTATTTCCTCTCTGGAAAGATAAGACATGGGAAAACAACCTTCAGCCAAGGTTTTAATACTGCATCACATATAAATAATGTATGTAACTACATTCTAACTTTCTTCACATTGACTCAGACATCTGCTGTATTTTCTGTCAAAACTGCTTCATGGCTTTTAACTTGTTTTCATTCACGCATATTTCGTCAATTTGTCCTCTGGAAGTGATGATCTGAATCTGATCTTCTCTAATCTTCATAAAAAAAAAACAAACAAAAAAACACATCAGTCTTATCTTGTACTTTTTCTGAGTCAGCTCCTTCTTCAGCTTCTTGTTCTTGCGTTGATGGTGACAAGTGAGGATGAAGAAGGTGACGAGCATGAGGATCAGCAGGCCGGCCACCGCGCCTCCCACAATGATGAACATCATCAACTTATCAGAATCGATGTTGGGCTCAGGGGGCGCTGTGGAAGCAGAACGCTTAGATTAAAGCCGTTCACACACAGATTCATCAGGGATTCTCACAGTCTGCGTTAGAGTGACGGGTCACTCTGTCAGCTACCTCCTAAAATGATGGTCACAGTATCCGTATTTTCACCCTCTGAGTTCTTCACCAAGCACTGATAGGTGCCGGAGTCATTGGCGTTAAGGGGTCGCTCAAAGATGAGTCTTCCATCGGGGTCAGGAACTGCACCACGAGGAAGCTGTCCACCTAATCTGGAGGCAAAACAAAAACAAAAAATCAGCTGCATCATGTAACTTTTATAAAGAATATGTTGTTGTTTATTTTTTACATATTTTTTAAAACTGTCACCATGTTGTGACCATTTGTTATGAGACCAATAATCTGTGAAATGATTGATCTCCCTGAGCTCCTACTCACCTCTCAAGAAATACACTGCTCCCGGTCAAAAACAACTAATCAGAGCGAGGAGGGGCTTAATTTTATCACTCAATCTCATGTATTTGCTGTTAAATGCGCTAATGGCAGAAGAGCTTTTAGCTGTTCATCTGCCTTTGTCAGGAGCGATGCCAACTAGGCTGAGCACTTACAACAAGATCTGCCTCCATGGAAAAGCCAGAAATGCTACATTGGGGCACACACTATGTACTGTAAAAAAAAGAAGAAACAAATGCAAAACAACAAGATTTCAGAAGATATTTTTTTTTTTTTGTCCAGAGCAAAAATGACGGGTGTTGCAGCCCAACCTAGAGCCCATCTGAGCATGTCCCTGTTTGGCAACAAGCAAACAGGAAAGCTCAGCACATAAAGATGAAAGATCATGATGTTTGATTGTTCTAACTGACGGCTTCGCACCCAATCTTAACAGTATTCTTGTTTTTTTAGAAGAGAGGGTGTGAGGCAAAATAAGCATTTGTTCAGCTAAACACCCAGACCGGCTGGGTGATTCACGAGTTCAGCATCTGTGAAGGGTGTTGCCCTGCTGTAGTTGTTGTTTTGAATGCACTTCATTCACTTTACATAGATTAGAGTTTCATCATAACTTATCAACTTAACATCTCTCAAAACACACATATTTACACGTGTCCCCACAAAGCTTGCTGGGCTCAACTACACGCTCTGAACTACCTGATAAGACTTTGGCAAGAAATGATAAGATGATAGAAATATACTTAAGGAGCAGTTTAGAAATGTTGAAGTCAGATTATGCTAATAGGTAATACGTGGACAATACAGGTACATCAAAAAATATATTATCATTGGACACAAAACTCTGTGAACAAAGAGCTTCTTCAGCCATGACATTTACTGATTATACTGCTTGACTTCTGGACACCTGTCCAATCAGCAGCTATTAGCTATTCACAACAACCAATGATTGAGGGGCAGCGCCATGAACATTCATATTCTGAACCATAAAAATGTAATGAGGCATAATATTAACAGAATGATTCTAATAACCAACTTAAATACACCCTTAATAAACCAGACTGAGTTCAGTCAACACAGGCCTGAATTGGACCACTTCAAAGACAACACTAAGCTAGCAAAACAGCCCAAGCTGGGTTGTTTTTAGCCCAGACGTTTCCAGTTAGCCCCCATTCTGTGTGAAAGCTAACTCATTAGAAGGCTAACTCGTTAGAAAGCTAACTCATTAGAAATGTGTAGCTTACACACATTTAAAGCTCGTTTATTTCACAGTGCTCCGTGTTGCGAGTCAGAAAGAGGAACTTGCTGTTTTTACATTTGCATCTAACACGTCAGAGTGATTGTAAAGCTTTCATAGCTTATCAGATATATCCGCCAATTTTAATTTCCTCTTCTCTTCTCTTCACCCCACCCCTCCACCTACCCTCACCACTAATGGCTGATTCTACCCCTCTTCTCTGCTCCTGGTTCATCTCTCATTTCTGCTCGTCCCTTTCCCTTTTTCGTTTGAGCCCTCCCCTGCGTTCTTCTATGTTCTGACTTCTTTGTGTGAAACTGTCTCATCTGTCTGCTTTTGGCACAAGCCATAACATGACTTTGTGACACAAACTATTACTTCACCTGCTGCCACTTACTCCCGACAGGTTTGCCTGCTGCTGTGGCTGCTGTGTGAGTAAGAAGAGGCTGAATGTAACAACAGATTTTGGGTGCAGATTCACTTCCCAGTGTATCTGTGAGCGATCGGTATGCGTACGGTAAGCATTACTCACAAAAACACCTTTACAATAGGTGTTTTCATGACTAACATAGCAATTAATAAGCATATCATCATCATTAAGTCTGCAGGAGCTCACAGAAACACCCAGCTGTCCTTATTGTACTTCTGAAGCAGATAAATCCATTCTTTCTGTATTTTTTTTTGTCTTGTAGGCCCAGCTGTCGGCTCTCATTATTTAATAGGAGCTGTGAGTCTTTCTGTTAGCAAAACACATTTTTCTAGTTGTGCCACACCCTGAGAATATTTAATGCACCAGGCGGTGGATCTGACAAATACTTCTCAAATGAAACCCAAAGTTGGCTTTAGTTTTGGCCGAAGGAGTTCACCATGCATACTGATCATTGATTAGTATTTGGCCACCACAAATTCTCACAGCTGGTTTTTAACACTTCAAGAGGAAATGGTGAAGCTTGCTGAGCAGATCTCTTCCTGCTCTGGAGCAGCAGGGTGCAGCGTGTTGCAGAAGTATTCACAACTCTTAGTACCTTTTCAAACTTTCTCAGCTTAAAAGCACAAATTTAAATGTATTACTTTTTATATGGCAGACCAACAAGCAATTGCATAACATTTTCTGGACTTAAAAGCCTACACTACGACTCTCTCAACATTTCTGTAATTTTCCCCGACAAGACTGATTGTAGTAAATGCCAGACCAGCCAGCCAGCAGATGCCCCTCAAAATGTCTGCACACCACTAACCCCAAACACAGAGTAACAGAGTATGATTGAACAACCTATAGAAAAAAGTCAACTGCACAGAGCTAAAGCTGGAGCAGACGAAGAACACCCCAGTTTTAATGGGTATTTTACATCTAAAATGACCAGGTAGTATCAGTAAATATTACCTACATCCTGGGAATAACCTAATTGCAACTTCAACAGACATCCCAATTAAATTCACAACATAACAGGCCGAAAATAATTTGCACGTTTGCTCTGCGAGTATTAACAGAAGCACCAGCGACCAGACACATCAGACGGTTAGTCATGCAGTCCCTAGACAACCAGAGGGGTAGGTGAGTTTTGTTGTACCTGGTCCAAGTGAGGGTTGGTTCAGGGCTTCCTTCATGTTTGCACGTCAGGGCAGCATTCTCCATACCAACAGACCATTGTTTACTGTAGCCAGACACTTTAGAGTTTGGAGGAACTGAAAGAAAGCGAAGCCATTTTCAGGCTCTAATTATTTAAGGCAAGATGAGAGTAAAGTGGGTTGCGCTTGCCTTTCTCTCTACTAGTGTTGGTGTAACCTGAAATGATGTAAATAGCAACAACTGATTCACCGAATGTATACTCACAGTGCACCACCAGTCGATTTTCTATCCTGCGTGGTTTGTCATATTCTGGATGCTGAACCAGGCAGTCCAGCTTCTTTCCATTCATACTCCTCAGAGGGTGCAGAGAGAAGTGTGTGGAGACAACCCCCTTGTCAGAGATCTGTTTGACAGCATGACCATTCAGTTCTGTGTCCCAGGAGAGCTCAGGAGGTGGGACTGCCACAGAGCGACAGGAGGCTACCACCTTATAGGAATCGCCCTCCTTCACAACCACAGGATCCAAGGAGCTGATGGGAATGGCTGGAAGGAGGATTGTTATATGAGTTATCAGGAAGAGGTCAGCTAGTGAAGGTTCAAGACTATATATTGCAATTAATCTATTCCACAAAAAATGAAAACACTTAGACCTATAGATCTGATCTTATCTTTCTGTCCGATCTTTAGTTAGTTGACCATGTACAAATAAACTGGCTTGAATTGAACTGAGTTGAGATTAACTGGATTTGAATTTAGGTTAAATTGAACTGAATTCAATTGAACTTAATCTGATTGAATTAAATGGAATCAAATTGAACTGACTTGAATAAACATGAATTCAGTTTAACTGAATTCAGATCAATTTAACTTAATTGAACTGAATTGAACTGGGTTCAAAACCCAAACTTTTTTGTTATGCCCATAGTAGCTATACAGCCTGTATAGCTACTATAGTTTCTGTTCTGATGCCACTTTAAAATTTTGAATGTATCCATAAAAACTCTATGGCAGCCTGACCTAGCTGGAGATAAAAATGGAATAATTTTCAATACTAATGGATGTGCAGTTAGGCAAAATTAAGGTAACCTAGGGTTAATTGGGTTAATTTTTCCTTAATTTTAGGAAAAGGGTAATTTCATTTTACCAGCCTTAGGTTAATTTAACTTCCTACACCATTGAAACACAAGACAAATATGCAATAATGGGATTGAGAAAACCAGTATCACTGGAGTACCATAGCTAGGTCATAACAGAAAGAGAGCAATAGAAGTATGCAGTTTCTCTTCTGAGACATACAAAAGATTTATGTACCTAAACCAAAGCGAACAATTAGGTTGCTTTTGTTGTCTACATTACATCAAATTTATGAAAGATAACTCACTCCACACGGTGAGATGCATCTCTATGTCAATGTTGCCAGTTGGGTAAGTAGTGATGTGACAGAGGTAATCGCCTTCATCGGAGGGCTTTGTGCTGGCGATGACCAGAGTCGAGTTCACTATGGGTTGATTGCTCTTAAAGGACACGCGACCTTTCCACTTCTCGGTCACTGCACAGAGAGTGACCAGTAAAAGAAGGCAGAGAGTTTAAGAGACATTTAAGAAAGTGACTGAAAAAAGTCCAGTGAGTTCAAAACAGACCTCAACAATCTGATGATGCTTTTCATTTAAACATTTTGGTAGTTAAATGTTAAGGCAATAACAGCAACAATCTTTTTGTCTATTTAAACATAGAGTCACACTTGGGAGCCATCTTGTTTGCTTGGTCAAGCAAATAATAGAGCAAGACAAGCTACAGAAATAATGTTTGTGTGAAGAGAGTAAATTAATAGCATCTGTGAAACTGTAAGTTAGCAGATGAAGTAGAAAAGCAACATAAATAATCACAGTACAATTCAACCTACCATACTGGCCTTCGGTCATGTGTACAGTAATCATCTGCTCCTTGTTCTCATCAGGGCCTATCTTATACCAGGTGACCTGCACCACCCTCTCTCCGTTCAGCTCATACGGGCAGGGCAGGATGGTCTCTTTCTCCTCCAAAGTCTTTAAGGAAACCTTTGATGGAGCATCCTCCGACTGTCCCTGTATCCCCATCACTGAAAAAACACAAGGTTTGGAAAAAGATAAAAAATAATCATTGCTGTGCCACACAAGAGGACACGGATCCCATTCAGCTTAACCAGATTTTGTCTTGTTACAAATAAAAACTCCCATCTATCATAGTATGATCTTTTGTGAGAGACCAAGACAAAGAAGTGTATCATTATGAAGTTCAAGGATCCATTGTTTTTTCAAATAAAAATCTGAAAAGTGAAGCACATTGCTTGTATTCAGCACTCTCTATTCTGAGTATCCTGAATAAAATCTGCGTTTTCATAATTAAGGAATCCTTCCATCTTTGTGGATGGCATTTCCATGTTTTCCCCATGGATGCGTGGGTTCTCTCCAGGTAATCTGGCATCTTCCCACAGTCCAAAATCATGACTGTTAATTGGTCTCAAATTATCCTGAAGCATGAATGCTTGTTCGCGTTGTGAGGGGCCAGTCGAGGTGGCTTGGGCACCTGGCTAGGATGCCTCCTGGTTGCCTCAATGGTGAGATGTTCGTGGCATATCCCTCCGAGAGGAGATTCAGAGGAAGATCCAGGACTATACTTCTTGGAACACCTTGGAACTGGCCTGAGTGGCAGAAGAGAGGGAAGTCTGTGTTCCCCTACTTAGGTTGCTGCCCCTGCAACATGATCCAGGATAAGTGGGAAAAAAGCATGAAATGTGGAGTACATCCTGTTGATCTGTGCAGGATGTACTCCACCTCAAGGTGCCTCAACCTCCCTACGGCCCTTCAAGGACAAGTGAGTATAGTTGATGGATGCATGGATAGATGAAATCCACCTATGTATGTAAGCCTAGCTGTGGACCCATACCCAGGTCAGTATAAGTCTAGCTGGTTTGTAAAGGGCCAAAAAAATTTGTTAAGAACTTCAGTGAACAAGCAGCAACATGAATATCAAAGAACAACTCTACTGCAAACCCATCTAGATCGGACAAGGAGAGTTTAACTCAGAGAAGCAGCCAAGTGGACCATGTTATCTCTGCAAGAGCTGCAGGACACTATCCTCATTGGAGAAAAATGGCGGCAGTAGTCTTATGCTGGGTTGAAACTCATCAGGCTTAATAGGAGTCTGATGAGTGCTGTAAACAATTAACCTAAAAACAACCAGAGGTATGATGAAATTGAAGTAAATCAATGGCCCAGTATAAATTCAACTGAGTACCAGCAAAGAATCTATACCAAAACATAACTACTTCTAAGCTTGAGATATTTTGCAAAGAAGAATGGACAGACATTTCAGTCTCTAGATGTCCAAAATTTAAGATATACTTCAATAGGCTTGCAAATGGCAATATTTTCAATTTTCCCCAAAGACTTTGTGCTCCCCGTTGCTTTTTATCCCATGACCCGACAGCTAAAGGTCAGCTCTGGTTAGGCATGCAGCAAACATCTGAGACCCTTGTGTTTAACATTGGTGCTGAGTTTAGGAATCATGAGCCTTTACCAAAACCATAGTTCTGTCTTCACTAGTATACACTGCTCGGGTTAGCCTATGCCATAAAATCCTAATCAAATACAGCAAAGGCTGTGAATACTTTTTAAAGGCCTTGTAGAATCATGTATATGGTCTCAAATTTCCTCCAATAGACTATGGTTGTTGTGTATGAGTGAAGGAAATAACTTCCTGATTTTAGAAGTTAAGAAAGATCAGAATCTGTTTGTAGAAGCTTGCTAGAAAAATGAGAAAGAAGATGCTTTCATTTCATTTAAAGCCTTCCTTATTCTCTTGCATAGCAGGTTATGTCAAAGCAAGTTTTGCTTTTGTTTTAAATTGAAATTGTACGCTTTTGATCTTGAGGCAACTTCATCAAGTTTGCCTTTAGACATAGTCCTTCATCTCATTGGAAAATCATAAAAATTGCCAAAATGGTCAAAGAAGGTGAATATTTTGATCCCTCTGTCATTCATGGAATTGAGAGGAAGCTCACTGCTTCCATGTTGGCACAGAACTTACACCTACTCAAATGACTTGACACCAATTGCAGTTTTCTGGTTTTCTGGTCGATCAGGCCTATTCCAATTTTTGGTTAATTCTGATTTTGTTTCGTCTAAACATTTGCTAAGTTAACAACAGTTGGGTGACTACTGTTAACTGCACATGTTGAGACGTGACCTGCTGGGCAGGGTCTCTCAGTCAGTCCTCTTTCATGACAGAGTAAAAGGCATCAGTGACTGATTTTCAGACCTTTGTGTTCAATAGCAGGACTCTGCAGATCTTAGACATGCTTAGGAGGTAGTTGGACCATTTCAGTCGACTGTTGGTTGGTAATCAGCTCTGTTTCCAACCATCAATTAAGAACTAGATGTTTGTTGTATACAGAACATTTCATTGTATAACATGCATTAGTTCACCAGTGGCTCTTTGGACCCTCAATGGTTTCAAGTAACCTTCAGCAAAACATCATAAAGAACCACCAGGTTTTGTGAAAATAGTTATAAAATCTAATTCCGTGTATTAGCAGTTTTCTGTTTTTCTGACATAATTTCCTTTAATTTCCACAAACAAACGACACTAAAAGTACCAGTAGACTATTTTTTAAATTTATTTTGTATATTTTTTTGCACTTTATCTGGGCGTTGTGTGGCTAAGTGGGTAGAGAGCGCGCCATGTGTAGAGACTACAGCCCTCAATGCGGTTGTCCTAGGTTCGATTCCTGGTCTCAAGCCAATTGCTACATGTGCTGCTTTCCTCTCTCTTCCCTATTTAATGAACAAGATTAACCTCCACCTAGGCCTGTCACGATAACAGATTTTGCTGGGCAATTAATTGTCTCAAAAAAATTATTGCGTTAAACTATGATATTGTTTGAAGACCTTTTTACACTGATTTAATGGAAATTATGTAATAATACATGCGATTTCCTGCCAAAGATAGATGCACTTTACTTTCAAAAGAACACTTAACACTGGAACTGATACACAAAATAAATAAAACAACCAAAAACAAAAATAAAATAGTTTCTCAGTCTCCATTAACAATAATGTACTTGAATAAAAACTAAACATAAAGCCAAAGTTGAAATAAATACTGCATTCAACCAAAAGAGTGCAGATTATGAAGTCTGTATAGTATATTGCCCTTCAGTAATCATTAGATTTAAATAGAGAAGAATCCGACTGAATGATGCAATAGTTCAAACTACAGGATTTTTTTTTTACCCCAAACGACAATCTTAGAACATTATTAGAACACAATTCTAAGATTGTCACTTGTGTTGGGTATTACGGTAGGTCGTCGTGGCCGCTCCGATCTAAATCAAGGATTTGCCCAGATTGGGAGCTGAACGCAACCTGTTGAATGTGACCGGCAGCCAATCAGAAAGCGTGGATTCCCCTCCTGCTTTCTGAGGGGAAACAAGGAGGGAATCCCGAACAGCTGACACGGTGCAACCCGAAGTCCAGCAGACATCGGAAACAACATGAATGTTTATTCAACAGTTGGTGCAAATAAAATATAAATAACTAGGGGAGGAGTTGGAGCGAAATTTCTACCAGAAAAGCCGGTAACTTTTCAGCTGTTCTTTGTTAACGTGACATAAATAGTTTATAATGATTTTCATTCAGTAAGGACTTTACGTTGACACTAGAGCAGGTAGATTGTAGTAAGGAATTGATTAATGCCTGGTTTCAAAATTAGTGAACTGGACTTATTATTTTGTGTCCATTGTTGGACACCACGGTTCGATCGAACCGTTATAGCTAGGATTTCTGTCGGCAAATGTGTGGGCTCTTAGGTTTTGATAAGGGCCAACAGCCGACAACATAAGATCGTGCAGTGCACGCTGCGCATTATACTAAGGAAGTAAGGAAGGGAGGGTCAGTGGAGAGCACCCGAGTTGAGCCTTTTTTCATTCAGTGTCATCAACAGCGCTACCACAGCTAAACCAGAAAGTTATTTCACCTCATAGACAAACACCTCTGCTATGTTTTATGAATTGTTTTATTTTCAGATCTGCAAATAGAAGCAAATGAAACATCTTCTTTAGCAGATATGTATTTAAAATTATAAGTTGCCTATTGTTAGAAGGTGATATAACATTACATGAGTTTCATTAAATGAACCAACAATGTCTATTACCCTAAAATAAGATCCTGTGCAAACATTGCCTCAGTGGAATATATTCCTCTGTTTTTGATGTCAGTTAGTCCATGTTTTATGTGATGTTTCAAAGATCAACAATACTGATAAAACACCATCAGGCTTTGCAAGTGAAATGAACAACTGAGGAAAGAAAAACAAAGGAGAATGAAAACAGGCTGTCTACCCAGCATGCTGAGTACCAGCAAAGATATGTCACTTAACTAGTTGCTCAGGATGGGTTTTCAAAGCAAACTCTCTGAGTTTACCGCAGCGTCTGGACACCACAGTCACAGTGGCCTCTGACCAAAGACTATACACAATGGCCTTGTGTATTAGATGACACACAACACACACACACAGAGTCAGAGCTATGATGTTGAGCTCTGCAACCTAAATTCAACAGTTAAGGTGCACCTGCCTGTTTGCACCTGTCAGCAGTTTTTTTTTTTCCTGGCACGCTGCAGAAGTGGAGCTGAATTTGCGGGCGTTCGCCTGATACAGGAAAAGCTCATTGTTTGCTTTGTAACATCTGTAATTCCAGAAGCAATGTTGACAACCTGCTCACTGATTCTGTGTGTCTGATAAGGCATGTGGCAAAACAAAAAGACAAATGCAACACACAGAAGATGCCATTGTAATTGTGTTATTTATTTCATCATGACAAACTGATGAGTGGATCAGAGCTGAATTACAAACTTGCTGTTTGTATTTTTCAACTACCTTCTTCTATCTCTAGTTTCACTTCTAACATTTTCCCCTCCTCCAATGTAGAAATGCACACACTTATACATAAAACCAGCTGAAAGTCCAGACCCCATCACTGAAGGTGGTAGAATCTGATCCTGATGCTGGTTCAACAGCCAGTGTGCAGCTGAAGGCCGTTGGCGCCGACCCTGAGGCAAACACAACGACTAAATTACTTTCCGCAATCCAGACCATGAGGAAGGGAGCTGCACTAGAAACAACTCAGCGTGAAGGTTCAGACTGAATGTTGACAGGTAATAATTAGGAGAAAGCTAATACGACTTGTTCAATCTTGGCGTGGCGGAGGGGGGGATGGCTTGAACTTAGTGTGTTCTCCCTGTAATGCATAGAACTTTAAGCAGGAGAAAGGAGAACAGAGTAAGTCTGTTTTTTTTGGCTAGATTAGATGATTTCATGACTGCTGTTTTACCTACAGCTTGGCAAAGGCCCAGCAGACACACAGTTAGCTACCAAGCAGCTAGCCTTGGTAGCTAACTGTGTGTAGGGTGTCGTCATTTTTTAAGTAACTGGTTTGACTGCAGTTGTTTTGCTACCAAAACACATAGTTTGGAATTTGAAAATGATTAGCATCAATGCTAAGAGCATTTTCTCCATTCATCTCTCAAATATTCCACAGTAACATGTCCAGGATGACTCCATCAGTTGTTACCAAGAACTGCTAATCCGCCTCATTTGCTTTTGCCACTTTTTAAGTCTGTCTGGCCATTAGGTTAGAAAGCTGGGCAGAGACATTGGAGTCAGGGCTATGAGAAGGCTTGAACTTCCTCCTCTTTCTCAACTTCTCAACTCCTCTGGGCGTAGGGTCGTAGTTCAGGTGTCAGTTTGAGCTTTTTTGAAATGCTAATCAAAAAAACAGTCTAGTCGGCGTTGTTGCACATCATGGCAATTGCCAGAAAGTGAAATGATAAGAGCAAAAATCCTACCAGCTGCACAGAATCCAAAATCAGAGGGATTAAAAAAAGCAACGGCTTAACCAAAGAAAGTTTAATTCAAGACAAAAGTCTTGGAAAAAAGAAATAACTAATCAGAACTTACGCAACAAAGACACCATTGTAAAATTGGGATCTCAACTTACAACAGAAAACTTTTGACAAAAAACTGTCTGTTTTTTTTTGGCAACACGTGTTTGATTAAAATAATGTGAAAATGTCACATTGATATCTGGGTAAATGCTGCTTTTGCCTCCATAATATTGCAGCCACAATATTATGGAGACTATATTTACAATGAGCCAAGAATCCAATCCCATTGATCAGTGTGATTAAGGCTGGGACTGGGCTGGACGTCTGCTGCAAGATAAGTAGAGGGTGGAGCCCGACTTCTCCAACAGATGATCCACCTTGTAAACAATAACATGTCAGAACGATTTAGATCTGTAGCAATAGTTAATAAAGCAACTAAACAGGCTGATATACAAAATCAGAGGCCATTTCTGAGGTCATTAAGGTGCAGCACTAATTATATTATTAAAGGTGTAAAAGTTGACGTTATTCATGTAGGAATGTTTGTCCTCTACTCACACGCACAAGTCATGCAAATCATCAAGACGTATGAATAAGGTGATCATTGTAGTAGTATAATATTTAGCAGACCTCAATGAAGTAAGCACCATATCACTTGGCTGCTTTGTTATCTATCTGTTGAATAAATTTTGACATTCAAGTTTTTGTCATTGACTGTTAAGAAATCTTTTAGTGGTTATGTTTATGTTTATGTTCATGTGTGCTTTCTGACTAAATCAATCAATTAAGCAAAATCATCAGAAACGTTAGCAACACTCTCTAATCATAAAACTGGAACCATAAGTGAAAGATGTGTTCCAATCATTTCCTGAAACGCAATCGTCCTGTCTATTTATCCCCAAAGATAACTAGAGGATCTCCAGAGTTAACAGGAATATCATTAGCCTTTCTAGAAGTGGCAAGAGAACAGCCGTTGTTAAGGACATAAAAAGTCCTGCCCACAGAATCGCATGAGTTTCATCAGACATACAGCAGCATAAGAAGCTGTAAAGCTATAATGTTAAAACATTTGCCTAAAATACAAGAGGCGGAAAACTGCTGTTGGTCCACAACATCACTATCCAAACAAAACACAATAAAGTTTGTGGTTCCAGATGAGAACTAGCTTTAATTAAGTTTTGTGCAACAGTTGGTTCTAACACTGTGTGTGGGACAGTGTAATGAGTTGGGAAGGATGTGATTCATGCGTTACCATCAGAGCAGGTGAGTATGTTGAGAGACATACTCACCTGCGTGTGTGTGTGGTTTGAATGTCTGTTACTCCGAATGAGGTCAGGGCCTTACTGTGGAATCTGCCTGCACTGCATTACTGGAATAACCCTCAACTTATCCTAGCTTCACGGATGGAAAACAGATCTTTTTTTCCCCATAGATGTCACAATTATATCTATCACCACAAGGATTGTTGTTCACTTCATTAGGTTGCCAAACAACCGCCTGTTGACAGATCATGGTGTGCCAAGACATTTCACACTGTAGAGAGTGGGCCACTGGGGGGTGTAACGACCTTTTGACCTGTGGCATTTTAAGGCTTAACACATACAAAAAAGAAGGGTTCATGCTTCGGTAGGCAGATTGGTCAACAACAACCTGTTTTTCCTGATCTATCAGTGATCACTACCAGTGTTTTCCACAAGGCCTGCTCTGACTGGGATCAAACCAAACCTCTACACTGGAAATCCAGATTTGCATATCGCATCAGCTGAAAACGACCTTACTCTGTAATCAACACAAACGTTTGTGACTTTATGAGGAGCCTTCAAAGTACTTTCATACAAACCAGGCTTAGTTTATCATTATAACATTCAGTCACATCCCTGTGTTGAAAAAAAAAAGTAATCATCTTACCAAAGATCTGGAGCCCTAGGAGACCCAATGAGAATTTGTAGAGCAGAGATGTCATCCTCCTTTGGCGTTACTGCTAACTGTGCACAAGCCGGGACGCCGTCGGATCAGCTCAGGTGTAGGATCCGAAATTAGTGGGCAGCTGTCATGCCTCCCAGTGAGTGATCATCCTCAAGAATGGTCTACTTTGAGAAGATCCTGGTCCTGTCCAAAGAGCCGTGGTCCTCGGGGTAGAGTGTAGTAGGGATTCTGTCCAGGAGTGAAGTTAAGCCATCAGGTCGGTCGTGTAGTGAAAGAAGGTGCAACCTTTGCCTGATCGGATACACCTGTTTGCGTTCTGCCTCTCCCTCCCTCTCTCTGCTTCTCACATACACACCCACACTGAAAAACTCACTTTTCTGGTTCAGTGAATGCATCATGACAGTTATTTTCTCGTCTTTACTTGCTCAGCTCAGAGGAGAGGCAGGTGAATAAGCATGCCCGAGAAAACCTGTTTGAACCTCGTCCCAATGACACAGAGCACGGATTATAACAGCCAGGCTGAGACCGAAACTGGAGGGGCCTCCTCCCTCTGGAGGAAACCAATGACCCCTTTAAGTTGGAGAGGTATAATCCTAAACGTAAAGGCCACAATGTCCTGTAACCTAGAAGAAAGACATAAACTAATCTGCCCATATTAAGTGTTTTTATTCTCACAGTAATGGTTGAAAGCTGAAAGAATGTAAACTCCCTGTTCACTTTCTGAATAAGTAGGGCAATATTCCGCTGAGTGCTACATAACCACAAACTCAGCGGATGTCTATTTATGTCACTGTGGTGATATTAAACATTAAACAGTTGTAATGTTTAATGTTTAGCACCATAAAATTCTGGCTTTCCTTATTAGGTGAGATGTCCTCTAAAGTTGCTTAAATCTGAATATTATGATCTGTACACGGAGTTCCTCAGGGATTGGTGTTTGGGCCAGTTCCATTTTGTTACACATTTTACTTTTGGGGTGCTGGTGCTCCAGACAATTTACTAACTGCCAGCTGCCTTACTAATGTGAGATTTTTTTTTTACAGCTTGAACATTATGAATATATACATATCTTAAATCAATAAGCACATGCCCTCTGATGCAGATGTTTAAAAGTGTTCAACGCTCTACAGGTTGGTTTCTCTCACAGTCAACAGAACCAAGTACAACAATGCAACAGCACAAAATACGACCATGAGAAAAATTATCTCTACTTCTGCATGTAGTCACTGATAGATGACAGAAATTATTTGAAGAGAGTCAATCTGTACATCATTAAAAAAAATTTTTAACTTTTTTGCTGTCATTGACGCAGTTGTTCCACATAAAAGCTGTCGATTAAGACTGACGGTGTTGTTAACTTCTACTTATATGACACTAAAAAATAAAACTCATTGGGTGATGTACCTTAGCCGACTGGACTTGGAATGACAGTAAATGTCACAAAAATATTTGCAAATAAGATATTTTGACAGTTTTCGCTATATTCTATGTGTAATGTATTGATTTTTGAGGATGGGGTAAATCTCTATTAGAGTCTATTTGTAGGGTTGTAGATATTTATCTAAGCACTTGTAAAATGTAAGGGAATAATCATCATGACTAAGTTTAAAACTGTTTAATTCTCAAACTGTAAATTTAATATATATATTTTAGATGAATCAACTATTAAAATCTACAAATGAACCAGTAAAACATAGTTGTTTGTGTTAGTAAAATACAAAGTCAACTCCTTAAATCTGAGATCCTAATTTTCAGATTTTGAAATGGGCTTTTATTTTGAAAGCAGTCGCCAGGTGTTTTTCAAGTGGTTTAGGATGAAGCTGACGCTTCCTCTGAAAAGTTCAAGCACTTCAGAAATCTCACTGAAAAATAATCTATATTTAAAAACAACAACAAAGCTGCAAATAACACTTCCTTTTCCTTGGGTTTTAAATCTGGGTTGTTATGACAACTTGAATTTTGAGGTGTTCTAGTTGACATTTCCAACTTAGAACTCCAGATATTTTAACATCCCATCTATATATCTGACCAAACCTAAAGCTATGTCAATATTTAATCTTATTTATATGAAAAGCCCCTGGCAGCCAGGAAATGATTGTCTTCAGAAATTTGTTCTAAAGACAGATTTAAAGATTAAAAAGTTCTGATTGAGGGTTAAATAAAGAGACAGAGGTGCCGTATTTCTAAAAGAGAAGTTCTTTAATATGAATGTGCGTGCAAAACAAGCCTGGTGTACATGTATCAGCTTCAGAAAGGTGAAGGCGATGCCATCACTGCCACCCTGAGGTGTAGTGGAAATACTGCTCAGTAACATCTTACATATGTTTCCCCCCCTTATAGTTCTCTTACCCCCAAATTAAGGCGTACAAAAATGTAACAGTACTAGCGTAAATACAAGGAAAGCATATGCAATTTGTCAAATTTACAAAAATAGTAAAGGATGAAATTTCTATCAGCATGTTTTGCTCTTGAAATCTTCGCAAAATATAAAACTTCTCATTGCAATTCTATTATTTTTTTCACAGTTAAGTGTTTAAATGCATCTTCAGGATATCAGTAGTCAAAATAAAATGCTAAAGATGTGCTAGAGGACAGGAAGAGTATCTCATACAGAGAGCTGCTTCACTTCTTCTTTTCTATCTCTTCCTCCTCAACTTCTGCTCGATTCAACAAAAGCAAAATGGGGAAATGAGCGCTGGTATGAAAAAGCAGTGTGACATGTGTTATGTTTAAATACAAAAAAAAACCCCACGACAGAACGCTGCGGCCGGGTGAGATCACTTCTTCATGCCGATGGTTTCGTATGTGTCCTGCTTGTGAGGAGTCAGACCCTGAAGGAGGGGAGAGAAGAGGAAACATATTTATATACATATGAATAATGTGAAGCTTCAGCGTAACGCGGCACGGTTCTCTGAAACTCACTGTGTAGATGCCCTCTTCCACATTCTGAAAGGAAAAAAGACGAGAAAAATTAGAGACAAAATAGTCATTGTGACACTCACACACACAAAAAAAGAGAAATAAATGGGAACTGGAACAGTGGCTCAAACCAACAATTAAAGTTTTTAAGCTAAAACCAAACAGAAGCAGAGCTCCGTCCTAAAATGACACGCAGCATTTGTTCTGAGTGGGCTGAGCTGAAAGGTGGACAGGATGTGGATTTTATTCTCCTCTAACCAGACGGCTGCTCAGTGGCCACACTCACTGCAGAGTGGAGACTCAGTATTAGCGCAACTCACCACGAAACAAACGTTCACACTAACACAAACATACACACACACTCGGTATGTAGACAGGCTGTGTGCTCATTTCCTTCTTCACGTCCAAAACCTCAGCCTCAGCATGTGTCCACTGAGGTTAGCCTCGACAGAAACTCAGCTTCTTTTTCGTCAACTGAAACGCCACTTTGTGCTGCGTTTCAGTCGCGATGCGTTCTACACACACGGTTCGAGTCGAGCAGTCGCTCTCACCTGCTTTGACTTTCCTTTTCCACCGCTGTCCTCTCTGGAGTTGTAGATCTGTCAACAATATAAAGAGAACAACATAAACCTCTGAAGCAGCAGGTAGAATCATTTGCAGTAGATATATGATGTCTTCGAGATAAAAAAAAAAAAAAAAGACACTGACGTGCAAAAGCATATAGTTCCAAATCTAAGCCTTTATTGAGATTTTATGTGTTAGACAAAACACAAAATCCAACACAATTATGGAGTGACAAAAAAGATTTTTCACAAATAAAAGTGGGGAAAACTCAGTTTAGATATATATAAATAAATGTCCACAGAATGATGCTGCCACCACCTTGGGAATGGTATGGTAATGTGGATCTTCAGCCATGCAGGGAACATTGCATTTAGGCAAAACAATCCCACTTCTACGTGTGTCAAACTGTAAACAGAACTTTTTTTGTGGACTTATTTTAATAGCTTGGTCTGCCCTCCATCTAGACATATTGACTTAAACTTGTCTAGAAAATATGCGTGTGTTTTTTTTGTCTTCACTCTGCTCATTAATATTCTCCTTTTCTTCAATAGTAGGCACTTTTCTGCAAATGTGCCAACAGCAGAGCTAATTTTTCTCGCTAACTTTTGCTTCCTTTTTTAAAATTCAAATATAAAGGAACTACCTTTTTTTAAAAAAAATAAAATAAGATATAAACATGAACACAATGACTAAGAGTATTATAGAACATGTAATTGTTGGCTTGTTGTCCTTCAATACTAAATATAGTTTGAATTTAAGTTTAGCATTAGCTTCTGTTAAATACTGTGTTGTGTAGCACATTAGCATGAGCTTCTGTGTCATATGTTGATATAGCACTTCAGTGTTATCTTCTGCTAAACACCATGTTGGTGTCGTGCTTTAGCATTAGCACCGCTAATGTTAATGATTACTGTTAACTTTAGTTAGCAGTAAAGAAGAGAACCACTTCTTTAGTTAGAAGTGGTTCTCTTCCCTGAATTTCCTGTTATTGACACAGGCAGAAAAAATATATTCGTGTTTAGATGGGATTTTTGTTGCATACTTGACTTGGTAGCGTTTTGTTACTCTAAGGGGTTTGTTCAACTTTAATGAGGAAGACAGATTCGTGTGGGTGAACCTTGATCCTGCAGTAGAGAGCCGTCAGGATGATGCCGTACAGGAAGAGAATCCCATCCAGAACGTAGCAGATCTGTGGCTCCGATAGAGCAGCTAGTGGACGAGATGACAGCAGAATGTTAGAAAAAGAAGAGCCTGCTGAGTACACACAGGTTTTCTACTTTTACACACCGTGTGTGACAGTAACTTGGTCTCTGTGATAATGGCAGGGGGGCCGCCAGGAATCTTGGGTCCCGTGACAAAAAATGAAATTGGCCCCACACCCACACACAGCTGCTGTTACAATTTCTTGAGTTTATCTGACCAATCACAAGCATCACAATTTTAAAGGTTTGTGACTGCCTTGCTTTCTTTGGTCCAATACTGATACTAGCACAATATTTACTGCTCATGAATTTTACATCCAATATTCCACATACAGTATGAAAGTAGGTTGCTGAAATTGTTTCTATTAGTTTTAGATTACTGGAATGTCTCTCCCCATGAGCAACAGTCAAAAGCAACTTGCAAAACATACATAAAGAAATCCAGACTTCTCAAGAAATGCTATGTAGTTGCATTTTATTCAAGCTGCAGTATAGGACTTTAATAAAAATATGTTTTGTACATATTTGTTATGAGACAGATAATCTGTGAAAAAATCTATCTACTCCACCTCCTCCCTGAATTACTATTACTGGCTAATTTAATGCAACGTTTTGGGCAAAAA